GACTTGTTTAGGAGAAAGCTTGTGGGGGATCTTCAGTGCTTCTAAGTTTTTATGGTTAGTCCACGCTTCAAAGGGAGCCTTGCTACCTCCAGGAACTGTCTCCATGTTAGTAGCGCCCACCATACTGCAAAAGCCTCTTTGTCCCACACAACCCACTGCCACTCTCTCATTTAGCTTGTGTATGTGCATGGCTGTAAGTTTCCCTCCTTATTTTGCTGGAGGACTGTTCCCACGGCCACATTTTTAACAATTGCTAGACATGTTTTTAAACATTTTTCCTAACCTCGCAGGTGGTAAATGCCATCTATAAAACATTTTATATAAATTTTGTTTATAGGTAGCTGCCATTGTTATTTTATAGTTTCCTTCCCACAGGTTTTGCCATTTTTCTAACTCTATATTGTGCCCAAAGTTTTTTGTCCAAATTATCATTGTTTCTTTGACTTGTTCATCTTCCATCTTTAAGTTTAACAAAATGTTATACAGTTTCTTAATTTTTCATCTGTTGACAATAGTATCTGGTCAAACACTGTCTGGTCTTTATAAAAACTATATGTTTTGGCATCTTTCTCATATCTCATTTGCATTTGCAGCTGTGGCCAACATTACAACATTACTGCCCTGTTCTTCCAGTTCTTGTTTAGTTTATAGTTTCCCTTCAGTATTCAAAATGTCTCTATAAGTCACAAGTTTCTCATACTTAATTAGATTTGGGTGAACAAATACTTCCATTGTCGAGATCCATCCTGGTACTTTCATATAAATTTTCGTTTTTATCTTTTCCCATGTTGGAAGCAAAGCATTTCTTACACAATGATTTTGAAAGTATTTATGGATTTTGTTCTTCCCATACCATAGAAAGGTGTGCCATCCAAGTTGTAAGTCATGTCCTTCTAAGTATAGTAATCTTTTGTGTCTAAGGTTATCCATTCTTTTAACCATATTAATGCAGCTGCTTGATAGTATAGAGGCCAGTCTGGTAACCCAAGTCCTCCATTTTCTTTCATTTCTTGTAACATTTTCAGTCTAATTCTGGCTTTTTTTCCCTTGCCAGATAAATTTCAAAATCGATGCATTTAACTCATCAAAAACAAAATTTCTCTATTTTTATAGGTATTGTTTGGAATAAAAAAACAGTTTACCAAAATGTTCATTTTCACCATCACTATTCTTCCTAATATTGATGGTTGTATGTTTTTCCATTTTTCCAGGTCTACTTTGTTTTAATAGTTTTACATAATTTATCTTTTTTTTATTGTTGCACACCTTGCTATTAAATATATCCCCAGATATTTAACTTTCTTGACTACCTGGAGGTCTGTTTTTTCTGACAGTTGGTTTTTTTTGTTTGTCTGCAAGGTTTTTGATTATCATTTTAGTCTTTTCTCTGTTTTATTTTCAGTCCTGCTATTTCTCCAAATTCTTCAATCTTTGTCAATAATTTAGGGCTTGTCTCCAACGGGTCTTCTAATATAAATACCAAATTATCTGCAAATGCTTGTAGTTTATATTTTTCATCTTTTATCTCCATTCTTTTAATTTCTGGGTCCTGTCTAACATGTCTATTCAACAGTTCCAAAGTTAAAATAAATAATAATGGAGATAGTACACAGCCTTGCCCACTGCCTTTTTTAATATTAAAGTTCTCTGTGAAATCTCCATTTACAGTTACTTTAGCCATTTGTCTATTATAAATTGTTTTAATTGTATTTATGAAATATTCTCCAAAATCCTTAGTTTAGTTGTTGTACCATAAATTGCCAATTAATGTTATCAAAGGCTTTCTGCACATCTAAAAGAAATTAGTACCATTTGCTTCCCTGGATGCATTTCATAATATTCCAGTGTATCTAAAATAATACTTAAATTGTTCTTTATTTGTCTCTTTGATAAGAATCCATTTTTGGTCTGGATGTATAAATTCAATCAAAAATCTCTTCAATCTTTCTGCTATTACTGAAGCAAAAATTTTATAATCCACATTTAATAGAGATATTGGTCTACAGTTCTTTATCTGGGTCAAGTCTGAGTCTTTTTTTGGTATTAAGTTAATATTGGCTTCTGTCAATGTATTTGGTGATTTGGCTTCTAATAGTACCTCATTACACACTACTTGCATTAATGGGCTTAGTATATCTTGTAGACATTTGTAAAATTCTGTGGGTAGCCCATC